ACTGAATTAAAAGTGAAATGCTACTATGCTATGGTACTAACAATAAGCTACGTTAAATATTAACTGTCACCCGTGGTACTTTCACTCGGGGAATTTTCGTCACACGGAGGTACGCTCCAAGCTATGATAGGTGTAGCTGCGAAGGTTAATTGCGTGATACACGAAATCAATTCGTTTTAGATTCGGCATATGTTTGATTGCGACACCGTTGTTGTAATTCCTGCGATTATCCACAGAATATTGGCACAGAGAAGTAATTACAACTCGATAATTATCTCGCAACAGGTGTCGTACCGTGCGTCGTACACTCTTTGTCCCTTAAGGCCTGTTCACATTACCGTAACCGTAGTGAGAACTCCACGTGGTGAGGGACGAAATTTTGGACTCGAGAGATGCCTTGGCGTAGTCTACAGTACCATAGTAAAAACTTGGAAGTATAGGGAAACCCATGTAAAAGCACGGGGGCTTCAGAAGGCCGACTCGTTCCACAGACTAGCGTGAAAGTACGGCTCCACCACCTGCTGAGCAGCTTCGAGTAGCTCCTAGACCCTTTTTTTTATGGCCGATCCCGTAGTTCCTGGTCAACTCGACCGTGATTTCGAAACATCGTGAGCCACGAAGTTTTCCCACCAGAACACCGTAAAATATCTCAGATGTTTGACAATTTTATTTAATAAGCATGTATTATACATACAGGATGTTTTGCATAGATTGTTAGAGCCGAAAATGGTAGATGGGGAGGAGCATTGTGAACAACAATTTCCTTTGGCAAAATACGAAATGGGGCTTGGTTAACGAGTTATTAACGAAAAACACGGACCAATCAGAGCGCTCGGTTGAGGCGGTCTCCGTTTCGGGAGCGCTGGCTCGGAGTCAGGCGGCCGGCTTTTCTCGCGTTTGAACAAGCGCTCCGCTCAGTACGAAGCGTTTTAAGAAAATGACGAATAACAAACTACATGAATAACAATGCAAGGAAATTGTTGTTCGTTCGTTATTATGAATAACAATTAATACACTTAATCGTTATTCACGTGGAATGGATAGGGTAGATTGTTGATAATTGATGGACGATGATAGGACAAATGAGGAATTAACAACAAGTCGCGGGGAATATTGAATTAAGAAGAAAATGTAAAAACTGTAGAGATTTAGACTTACTCATTCATTTGCAAGTGTACCTGCTAACGATGGGCCACGGTCAATGGGTCAGCGTCTCTGCCGTTCGCAGGTAGGCCACAGCTGATCTTCTGTTCAGGGAAGGAACCCCGCAATCCACCGCACGATCATTGTCACTGTTAAAAATTTTAACACACTACGATTGTTGCTCCTACGTTCTATCAATACACGTCTTTGAAAGCAGCCGATTGATTTTTATACACAAACTCAACTTAATAAAACCACTGTCACTTTTCACTTAAAAATTTTCAAACACTTACACTGTCGTTCTTGCACTCTAACATTGAACGTCTCCGAAAGGAACCGATTGTTTTTTATTCACAAAATAAACTTCACTATCCGTGAAATACACGATGCACGAAGGGCGCGACTCGATCGGGATGACTCTCTTTTTATCGGAATCGGCGGATAACCATCTTCGCGTTAGGCGAATACTCGGATTATTTCGTAATACTCTGTTGGATTTTTCGGGATCCGTCACTGAGTTGAGGTGCACGATTCGATACCTACTGAACCGTCTCTCACAACTTTCCTTCGGTAGAATTTTCCCCACTCGATGGCCAAATTCGTTAGTGAAAATGTTTTTAACATCCCTGAAAGAAACCCGACCTTCGATTCCTTGTCACATTTACAACATTCCCCACGTGTTAAACACTCGGTAACTCCGCGACTTGCAGCCAACACAGCCGTAGACGCCTGGATTGCCTTTTGCCGTAGCCGTAGACACATTGTACGCAGGTAAAAACCCTGCCATAATCCGTACGGAAGAACTTTCGCCAGTGGTAAAAAAAAGTAGAAGGACATCTTTTACTGCGTTCAACCAGTCAAAGGTACTTTTTATTATCGAACACGTGTTTTTAAGGGAAATCGAAAATAATAAGCTGGCGAAACTTCTTCCCTAAGAATTATGACACGGCTTTTACCTGCCTACAATGTGTCTACGGCTTTGCGGGCT